CACCCGCTGTAGCACCGGAGTTTTTTCTGACCGCAAAAAAAGGTAAAAAAAAAATTTTTTTCTCGAAATTCAATTTTAAGCAGACTCATGACCAAATTGGAGCAAAAAGACCGACCACTTAGCCGAAAAATATCGGCGGCGCCATCGCGAAAAATTTCACAAAATGCCTCCGATGAAGCCCTTCCCGATTCCCGTTCTGTGTAATTTTTCTACCGTTGTGATCACCGTGTCCTTCTCTACAGGTTGACTAGAGTAAAACACCCAATCGCAACGTGAGCTGAAGGAGCCGCCGCACCGGAGGGCCCCGCCATCGGTGAGTCTCAGTTTTTTATATTTTTTCGGCCAACCGAAGCTCTTTAACGTATTTTCTCACAGGGATCGATGCAGAATCAGCCAAATTCAGATGAAAACTCCCCAAAACAGCCGATCCGATGTGGACCGCCACCGCGGGTGGTGGCGCCGTCGCCAGAGCACCGTGAGGCCGCCGTGTTAGAATTTCAAAATTAGCCAAGTGGGCCCTGGGACAGATTTTGGGTTTATATGGGACATTTTTAGGAACTATTGATGCGTTTTAATTTCTGAAGAAAAATTTAGAGAACCCGATAATTGACCGTAGACGCAGTCGAATAGCTTAGTTTTTCAGACATCAAATCGAGTAAGGATCCCTCACCTTATACCCTATCATAGAATTGAAATCTAAATAAATAATAATATGATATTTTGTATAAATTTAGGAAATGTGCATAATTAATTACGGATTGCTAATGGAGCCGGAACCGAAAATTATTCTCTATTGATTGTTGATTGTTTTTACAGTTTATATGCATGATGATATCTTATTAATTAATTTTATGGTCTTGAATGCATGTATGGTTTATTCTATGGGTTTACTGCTAAATCGAAAAAAATGAAGGTTAAACGGTAAAAAATTATGTGATGAAATGAATAGATAAAACGACAGCCTTACTGGATATCTTGAGATATGGTGGACAGACCGGGTACATAGAGAACCCCATCGTGAACGTTGTCTCATATCGGATGGGGTATGAAGACTTGATAATTTAGCGCTCATACCGGACGAGGTATGGGGACGACCCGCTTCACTCTCATATCGGACGGGATACTGAGATTTGGTAAATTGGTGCTCATACCGGATGGGGTATGGAGACGGTCCATAGTTGAGAATGTTAAATGAAAGGGTTCACATGTAGCGGGGACATCCCTATGAACCCCCATGGATATCAGCAGACTGGTAAAAAGAGCGATAGTTATTGTGGATTTATTAATGATGGATAGAGATTTATAATGTGTTCTATGATTGTTGATTGTACATGAAATCATGATCTGTATAATATTGTTATATGTATAGATTGTTTTTATAAATTCTACTCTAGTAAGTAAATGGTAAATGGTTTTATTTTAAATAAATGTATTGATTTAAATTAAGTGCTCCATTAATTATTTTAATTTTAGACCAACATTTACTAATGTGTCGGTAATATAGTGTGATATCCTTATTGGGTTAGTGTAGCTCATTCTTTATTTAACTATTTCAGATTAAGAAGACCAGATTCCAAAACCTGATCCAAAAGAGGATTGCGAGTAAATGCTGGATTTCTTTATTTTCTGTTCATTTCTTTACTTCTTGCATTTCTTTCAAAATGGTGAATTCTGTAACACTGTTTAGTATTTTGAGTCATTTGTGTAAGGAATATATACCCTGAACATTTATTACGTTTCCGCATTTTAATTATCTTTCATTTTCTTTGGATATTTCTGAAGTCGTTACAATTATTGTTCTTATTGGTCGATTTTGAGAACTCGTAACAGTAAGTATAGAATAAATAGTTTTATGTTAAATGAATTATTTAAGAAAGCAAATGACTCTATAAATTATTTTGTAATTTTTTACCAACCTTCGGATTTTCATGTCAGTGATTAGTATGATATCTTACTAGATCAGTGTAGCTCATCCCCCTATTTAACCATTTCAGATCAAGATGCAGATCCTGAATAGTAGAAGGGTTGCGAGTAAAGGTTACGTCCCGAACATCATTAAAATTACTAGTGAATGTTAACCCCATAGGATTTTAGTTTTATTTCTATTTTTGTTATTTTAATACTTTTTAAGAACATTTCCGTATCCCTATTGGGCATCTTAAATTACTACTGTGTAAGAAATATAAACCCTATTTATTATTTACTTTCGCTATTTTAATATATATTTCTTTTCTTAAGGTTTCAGGCCTTTACATACACTGATAGCATCTATAGATTAATGTTTACGTTCATTTATTATGTCATCTTTTGATGTACTAGTATTTTTATTACTAAAAATGTTATTTCCGAGATCCTAAAGAAAATATAATTTTTTTTTTACTTCTTGTGATGAAATCATCTTCTTAAGTGAAAAAGTATCTCTTGGGATTGTTTGTGAAATTTTTTTCTATAATAATGTTCTAAATGCTCCTTAAATTCTTATATTGATTATCATTTTTCAGTCACATAAAATTCTATTCATGCATTATGTTGTTAGATTTTATTCTACTTATTAAATATTTATGATCAGTCACGACATTGTTTATTATTTTTATTTTTGATTATTCACTTTATTACGGTTTTTTTTTTCTTTTTACAAAAGGAAAGAGAATCTATTTTATATTTTGTGTTTTTGTTTAAATAAAATAATACAAAAAATAACATTGCATTCAAATTCATCATCCTTGAAATTTTTAATTTAAAAATAAATAAAAATAATTATTTTTTGTATGACAGCATTATTGGTGGGCAAATATTCTTTAAAACATTTCTTGTCCAAAATAATTGCAGATTTATTATGATTTTATTAAATAATTAATCTAAATTTTGTCCAGGTGAAAAGTGAAATGTCAGTTCAGAAAAACTACTGACTTCATTTTTACTTTTTTGTAAATAAAAAAAATTTACTCTACTTGCATCACCTTTTTTTTTTTTTTTTTCTAAATATATATATATATATATATAATGACAACCGACCATGAGGGAAGCAGATAGGTGCCAACTGGCTCAAAGATTTTTTGGTGCAAAGCTGGCGTTTCTGTTGCTTTCTTCCTTTTCTTTTGGTAATTAATAATTACCCTTAATTAAGAAATTATTATTATTAATTAATTTAACATAAATAATAATATAATATTATAGAATTTTGCATCCTCTTAAATATTAGTTAGTTTAATTTGTTTTTAAATTTACTTAACAGATAAAATGTCGATAATCAATTTATTCTTAAATAATTTAAAAACTTTACTTCAAAATTAAAAGTTAATCTTAGCAGTGCATTATCAATTTAATACAAGGCAAAATTATGGAAAACTAATTGTTTAATTTATAAAATAATTTAATATAAGTAATATAATTCGAAATTAAAAATTAGTTAAAATAATGGAGGAGTAATTTAATTTAAAATAATTAACTAAAGTATATAAAAATTACTAAAAATATAAAATTAAGGTTAAGACAAGGATTAAGACGGGTACATTTACTATTTTGGTAAATATGTATTTTAAGTTTGACTTTTAAAACGCGAGTACAGAGTAACATCAATCTCTCCATTATTTTCCTTTCGTTTTTCTTGGTAAAATTTTCCTTTCATTGAATCTTCCGAAAGAAAATGATTACTCAAGAACTCCTTAATAATTATTTGTTTAAATGTTGTAATCAATTTCAAAAAGAAATTCAAGCTATAAATTTGTTAGAAAGAGCAAGTAAATCCAGGCAGAAGCAGCAGCAGCAGCAGCAGAGTTGCAGGTAAAAGAGAAAAAGAAAAAGAAAAGGTGAATACAGCAATACTTACATGATGCCAATGATTATATTCTTTATATAGCACAGCACTGTAATGGTGTGTTTATCATCAAATCTTACAGAAAGCAACAAAGTAAGATTTCATTATTTATTTCTTTTTCTTCTCAATATATGTTTTTTAATTTTGATATTTGCAGTATATATAATATAAAGCAGTCGAGAAAAATTCTCTTCGCGTATCCCAAAATCCAGATGATTTTATATGTCTTCTTCTTCTTCTTCTTTATATCGATAGATTCTTTCTCTTCTCTTCCGTTTATTTCTCCTTCGTTGTCGATAATCATTTCAAAAACTCTGCCTTAAATTTCTAGTTATTTATTAATTAAACTCGGTCGGAGAATTTTCCCACTTCTTTCGTTTTAATCTTCGATGCAATTAAAAGACGAATCTGAAGTGAGAGATCTGAGGCTATTTCTTCTAATCTAGTTCTGGATTTCTCGTGTACGTATAAGATCAACGCAGAAATGGAGGCGAAGAAGAGTTCTGTTGGCTACTCGAATGCTGAGCATTTGGAGGTTAGGCCTGGAGGCATGCTAGTCCAGAAAAGGGGTTCGGATTCTCGTCTTCCAGTTCCCACCATTAAAGTCAAAGTCAAGTACGGCTCTCAGTCTCGACACATTTCTATCAGTTCTCAAGCCAGCTTCGGTAAATCCTATCTATCTTCCCTTTGTTTGACGAATCTGACTTGGTTTATTATTTTATATAGGTTTTTGTTGATGTGATTTTGAGTTGTGTTGCAGGGGAACTGAAGAAAATGCTTGCGGAACATACAGGGATACACCATGAGGAGCAGAAATTGATATATAAGAAAAAGGAGAGAGATTCCAAATCGTATTTAGATGTTGCAGGAGTCAAAGATGGATCTAAATTGTTGTTGGTTGAGGACATTGCCATTAGAGAAAAACGCTGCCTGGAGAAACTCAAGAATGCGAACATTGAAAAGACCTCCAAATCCTTGACTAACATCAGCTCGGAAGTAGATAAATTTGCTCAACAGGTAACTTCAATTTCTTTTGTAACTACCGACAGGTACTGGGATTAGTAATATCGATTAGGATATATATATATATATATATATGATATATATGTGTACGTGTTGCTCCAATTGTATAGGTCACAGCCTTGGAAGCAACAGCTTCAAAAGGCCGGAAAGTTTCTGAGGTAGATGTAGATAATTTGACAGGAATTTTGATGACTATATTAGTCAAACTTGATGAGCTTATTGTTGAAGGAGATCTGAAATTGCAGAAGAGAACACAGGTATAGAGGGATTTATATATTTATTGTTGTTACATATTGGAAATTTCTACATTATTGACCGCGTTGTTCTTGATATTGTGATTCTTGAAGGAAAAGAGGGTTCAAAAGTATATTGAGAATCTTGACAAGTTGAAGCTAAACAATTCAGTGACCTCCAACAAGGGAGACCATTCCCCACTGAAGAAGAAAGAGAAAGAGAAAGAGAAAGAGAATTCTGTTAACCAACTGCAAGCAAAAGAGAAGCAGAGGAATTTGCCATTGAAGCAATCCGGTTCGTTTGTGATAACAACAAGATGGGAAACATTTGAGTAAGAAAAAGGTAGGTTGCTTCCTATTTGAACTGGAATTTCTTTCGAGAATTCGATTAGTCACATTGAAGAAGATTGTTTATTTTTAGATTAATTTTATCGTAGAAAAGGGTCTTCAAAAATAAAATTTGATGCTTGTGATGTGGGTTTCAATTTTTCTTGTCCATGTGGGAGAAAGCAAGTTGTATATAATATAATCATGCATAAAGAACTGAAGAATCAGGTGGTGGGTCATTTTATTCTAAATTTATTATAGAAGATATGAATAAATTTGTGGGTCGTTGAGAAATTTGTTGTACAGCTATTAGAATTCATTCTGTTGTCAGTGTGTGTCGATTGGGGGACCATTGAGGCTGATCATCAGTGGTGAAATGAATAATCTGTGTTTCGTGGGAACATTATCTCCCAATTAATTGAGATTGTTAATTATATTCATAATCCATGCATAAGTAATTAATTATTATATGATAAGATTAATATAAAAATTAAGAGGGAAAAAAGCAAATGATAACAGAATGATAGAAAAGTAGGTTTGACTTTCGTCCTTCATGGCTTTGTTATTAATTGTTTATATTGGTTTGGTGGATTGATACAAATTAGGGTTATACCACTGAAACTTCTTGCACCGACAACTTTATGGTATTACCGGTTTGATTTACTGATGTAGTTTATTTTCTTTAACGTAACATTATTTATTACAGAGTTTAAGATTATAGTGAACTTAATTTAATTTTATAACAAAAATATAAATTATATAATTTACTTTTAACTTATTAAATAACTAAAATTTAGAATATAAATGAGAATCAATCAAACCCAACTTTAGGTTAATGACCAAATCTATAACTATACCTAGTTTTATATTTGTTATAGAAAGGAACAACGTAGTTTTGTTGGTTGATTCTGATTTCTGTATAGTTATGGATTGTTAATTACTAATTATTTTCATACGAAATTTTGTACTCAGAAAAAATCTATGAAAAGCTAAATTGGTGGGAAATTAATGGAGTAGGGTGATTCTGATTTCTGTAATTTTGTAACGTCACATTCCGATAGAGTTGGCTTGCACCACCAAAAGTCCAAACTGGTCCTAGGTATTTGAAGCCCTTTGGAATTGGGTGGGATATACTTAAAAACAAAATAGGCACTGACATTATTTATATGAATTTAGAAATATAATATTAGTAAATCAAATCAAATCAAATTAGTTGGATTAAAGAATATAAGAACATTAAGAATTACGGTTTATGTTGCCTCTTTTATATTTTTCTAAAATTATTTTATTTTTTTTAAATAATATACGAAACTCTTAATTTTCTATATTGTTAGACACTAATATAGAACGTGAGTAATTTAAATTATTTATAAATATAAAATGAGTAATCTTAAATATATTTTTTAAATAGGCATCACAATAATGGAATATTCATTTTTTTTTCCTTTCTTTTATATCTCTTTAGAATTATTTTTAAAAACATAATAAATATTCAACTTTTTTATATTATTAAACATAAAAATAAGATAGTGAGCATTTTAAAATTATTTATAAATACCTTATAAATAAACATAAATATTTTCTTCAAATGGGTATCGTAATAATCATCGTATGTCGATTTTTACTTTCGTAATTACTGATTTATATATATATATATATTTTTTCAAAATGTTTATTTAAAAAAAAAATGGTTGTCTTCAATGGAATTAGATAGATAAAAAAGGTTAGTGTGTAGAAATTTGATCAACACAACTATTTGAAAGGAAGTGAGAAAAAAATGTATTATATTCAAACTATTTATAAGAAACCTTTGCACTTGTTGCCTGCAAGTTTAAAATTGTGAATTTGATTCACCAAGTTTTTGTTTTGACACTGCCTTCTGTTGTACTGGTAGACTGGCTGCTGCAATTCCAGGTGTTCTTTTTTTTTATAACTTTAAACTCTTAATTGCTGTTAATTTAATTTTTTTTTTTATTAATTTTAATAAATATAAAATGGGAATATAATGAAGGTAAAAAAAAAAAAGATATAAATAAAATATGTCATAATTATAATTTATACGAGTATAGAATTAAGTATGCTGAAGATATAACTAAATTTTATATATCAAAAGAATAGAACAGACCAATTTTTCTTTTTCTTTTTTAAATTTTTTTAAGTAAAGACAAAACTAATAAAAACTAAAATAAATAATAAATTCATAAAATCAAAATTATTCATCAAATTTATAATTAATAGTTTATTAATTAAAAAATAATTTATATAATATCCTCTAAAATTTTCAACTGAATGGATACATATTTTAAATTTTAGAACTAAAAATTTCAAGCTATTTGATTCGAACCATGGACCAAACCAGGATTAAAATCCTCATACCAAACTAGATCGAAATTTTTAATCAGACAAAATTAAATGAAAACACACCCTTTGATATGTAAGGGTGACATTCATCAATCAAATTGGCCTACTTCAAAACACAACAATATTTTCTTCGCTTAAATAGGGTTGGAAACTATGATAAAGGGGAAAAACGCTTCGACATTCTCGTTCCTTCCTCAGCCATGGAAGGAAACAAGTACCATGTAATATCCTTGATTTACTAATTTTAATGTAATTAAAATTAGTATATAAATATACTTTTTTAATTTTTTAATTTTTATTTAATATAAAAATAAAAAAAATTAAATGTATGATGAAATTAAAAATAATTTAAAAAAAATAAATGAAAATTTGAGTTTTGGGAATATTTTTGAAAAAAAATTCAGAACTGAAGGTCAAAACGTAATTTAAAAAAATTATGCAACGTAGGACGTCCAGTCAGCAGCCCCGACGAACCGAAACGCACTGCGTGGCAAGGGACGCTGACGCAGTGTCACGCAGGCGATTCGTGTGCCTGCGATCGGACAGTCCAGATTCGTTTCTGCGTGGATGGACGGTCCGGATCCGTTCTCTCCCTAGACGCGATCGAACGGTCAGATTTAAACGTGATGAACGGTTCAGATTCACTTTCTATGTAAACGCAATCGGACGGTTCAGATTAAACGCGATGGACAGACCAGATTAAAAGGAAATGGGTATAAATAACATTTTTCACACCAAACCTTAATCCTAACTGCCAGACCCCTCCTGCCGAAAAAAAAGACCCAGTCACCTGGAAGGAAGCCGACCGCCGCTGCCGCCACGCCAGAGCCACTTCTGGCCGTCAAAAGAGGTAACAATTTTCTCATTTGTTCGAAATTCGATTTTAAACACCTTCATGGCCAAATCGGAGCAAAAAGATCGGTGAATTAGCCGAAAACCGCGTGCAAAATCCAGCAGAGCCGCAACAGAAAAATACAAAAAATGCCTTTGATGAGGCCCTTCCTGATTCCTGTTCTGCGTAATTCTTTCACCATTATAATCACCATTTCCTTCTTTATAGGTTGACCGAAGCAAAACACCCAATCGCGAAGGTGAGCCAGCGGAGCCGCCGCACCGGAGAACCCCGCCGCTGGTAAGTTTCGATTTTCTAACTTTTTTCAGCTAACTGAGGTCCCTTAACGTATTTTCTCGCAGGGATTGATACAAAATCGGTCGAAACAGCCAATCCGAGTCAAACCACCACCGCGGGCGGCGGTGCCATCGCCAGAGCACGACGGAGCCGCCGTGCCGAAAATTTAAAATTGGCCAAAAAAGTGTTTCTAACACTGATTTTGGATTTTTTGGGATATTTCTAGATATTTGAAGCACGTTTTAATCCCTGAAGGAAAATTCAGGGAACCCGAGGACTGCTAGTAAGCGTAACCAAAAGTTTAGCATTTCGGACATCAATTTGAGTATCTCTCACGTTATTCTCTGTTATGGAATTGAAATCTAACTAATAATAATATAGTATTTTGTGTAATTTAAAAAATATCCATAATTAATTACAGGTTACTAATGGAGTCAGAACCGGAAGTTATT